CTCACAGTTCATGGCAAGTCTGAGGTGCTCCGATTGTGTCTGGGAACTGCGTTAAATATGTGATGTGCCATAAGCAATGTCGTATTGTACAGGTTGAGTATCAATAACCGGAAATGCTTGGAACCAAGGTTTTTCCGGATTTTTGAATACATGGTATAGTGGACTTGAAGAGAATTGAGAAAAAAATTCAGACTTTCAGAAAAATTAGCTTGGTAGTCATAGACACCTCACTCAAGTAATGTTTGACGGTTTACTTCATATCCACGACACAGCTGTATTAAGAAACGGGATCATCAGCAGAACTTTTCTAATAATTTATAAGGAAACGGAAATCGATGAAGAAACTCATAACGGGTTACAAAATTCCGATATAAACTATTGTAACCATTTAACACGTTTTCTCTCCCGAGTTTTTCTCGTGAATACACAAAATAACGAATATCCTTCCTTTGAATATAAATATTTAGGGCCTCAACAGTGAGTTCCTATTCCAAAAGGCTGCCTGCTACGAGAGTTTAGTTACGGATGTTCCAGAAAGCGGATAGCAGCTCCTTACAAATCACAAGAAGGAGAAACTCACTTGGTTATTCCAAAAATTGAAAGTCCCGGGTTTTGTTGCAGTACAACATGATACGTAGATAAAAATATCTCCGTATAGCTTATGTAGGTTTGAATGGCGAGGTTGAGGAAGGGGGGGGGGTAGAAGTTAGGAGTTACTGGGTTGTTTCCATTAGAAAATGCAAGCATGACAACGAAGTGTTCTCTATTTTAACTCTGCAAAAAATGAGTAGTGATCGAGTGTTCTCGCGGATGGGACGCAGAAAACTTCCGATGACGTTTGACCATCCCTCCCTCGTTAGGATCAAAGGGGGCTGATTTCTGGATTGGCAAGCTATCGAAAGATACGACTGCCGATAAAAGGTTAAAGGGGAGATGGACGAGAAGGGTCTTGCGACTGTTGTTCCTCTTATTGAAATAATTTAGTACAATGTTACGGATTACCGAATTTCGGATTGGAGATGCTCAGCCTGTGTTATTTTTCTCTTTATAGCTTTAAAGCGTTTTGTGCTGATGCACAATTCCAAATCAACCTTTTTCCAAATCAATTCAAATCAATCAAATCAATTTTTCCAAATCAATTTTTTTTGTACGGCGAAGGCACAGCTATCTGTTATCGTCCTGTTTTTCTGGGCGTTGACAGATAAAGTTACTGTTGCAGAGGTTGAAGTATTTCATGAGACGATCAAATAGGTTGCCTACTGAATTGTACTATTAAGGACTTGTTACAGCAAATCAGAAGGTTTCGCCCTCAAAACAGTACGAAGGTGGTGTTCCACCAGTCAGTGCAAACTTTTATCTTTTTGCATGAATGACCTAATATTTTTTATCTTCGATCGTTATTACATATTTTGGCACTTCAAACACAGTACAGGAACAAACATTACGTTGTTATTGAAACTATTTCCTAGTGCAATTGGACAATAATAATATGCTACCGCTTTTCAGGCCGATAAAACATTGTAGGTTTTACTCTCCTTGTGCTGATTAATCAGCTGTTAGGTGGGTATAGATGTGTTACAGCAAGAGTGTGCGAGCAGTTAATGTACTGTTGAAATTTTCACAAGTTCGAACATGATCATACCAGAAGATTGTGCTGTCCCTATTGTTCATCGACTTAGCTGCGATTTGCTACCCGTTTCTTTACTGGTTATTCCAAGGCACCCTAAAACGTTGGGTTGATTTTCTGTTCATCGAAACTAACAGTTGACGAGATGATGTATGCCGATGTGGCACCAAACGACCTGATGTACAGTATGTACATGATGGTTAGAAACGGCAGGAAGTGTTAGCGAGACCTTCGTCCACCAATGGTTCAAGAAAGCTGATGATTAAGTACAGTACGTGACTCATTCACGCATTGCATTTATGTGACCTTGAGGACCAAAGGTCTGCCACTGACTTTTTCGAGTATTTCATTAAGTCACCCTAATATCCGTTGCATCTATCGAATGTGTTGTCGTTCTCTCTTGAAACGGTCAGCGACGCGATGGCAAGATTTCGCATTGCTTTGTTTAAGAAATGTTATTGGTGAGACCAGAGATGCATGAGTTGCTAGTTCCTGATCGAAATTAATGACAATCCGTTCAAAGCGATTTTGGTAACATACGGAAATCACTGTGTATTAAAGAAAAGAAATTTATACTAAAACACGAACTTAAAATGTTCATCAAGATACTGTGTTTTGAGATGACTGCTTTTTTCATCGTAATGTTTGCATGGTAAAACTGGAAGTTGCTTAACATTTTTGATCCTCTCTTGTTTTCAACTCAAAACTATAGGTTCCGGTGTAAGAAGTGCTTATAGAAAGAAAATTTAATCTAACCAGTGCAACTCAGAGTTCCAGGAACTGTCAGTAAGTCTGAAAGCTGTTACTTTAACAAACTTTCGTTAACATCTCCCACGAGAAAATAATTGGCAACGTTTTCGAGCGGTTGGTGACCCAGGGGCCAACAGTCTTTGGCTCACAGACGACATTAATCAATTTACATATATAAGAGAAAACAATGAAGTCTTACATCTTAATCTGATTCTGATGGCGTGCATTTGGTGTTGCTCTCCCTTGAATCGGAAGATGTTCTTGACGTGTAAGGTATTAACCCTATTTACATATTACCGCTATATTTTTTGGAATGAAGATCAATACTAAAAAGTTAGACGGTGTGAGAATTAGAAGGACAACATGGGAATACGGCTGGATGACGAAGATCTCGAATATGGCAAAGATTCAGATATACTCTGGTGCTGTGATCATTGCTGTATAGCTAGCCACGAAGTGAGGAGAACGAAAAGTCTTAACAGGTAGGAAATGAATAACTAAACTGTCCAGCTGCTGCGGGCATCTCTCACAGTCCAGCGGTTTAAGGGTAATTATGTTGCAAGGTAATGCGAAAGAAAAATTTCAAACGAACCCTCATTGAAGCCATGGATCAGAAACTCATGGGCTGCACAGAAAATGGAGATGAACCATTTCATCGATGCAGGCTACTAGCAGTGGACAACGTTTATTCTCGAAATTCCTACATTCGTACTCCTGGGACCCTTCCTTGATGATGACAGTGATGAAGACGCGATGGTGATATAGCGCGTAGATATCAAAAACTCTAATTAATGAAAACAATCGGAGACGTATCGAAATTCCTTATCAGAAGCAGTATTAATACAGAAAAAGAATACTAGAACCTTTTGACTTTGTGCATTGGTGAATTGGAATGAATATTAAAAGGCACTACTCGATTTATGAAACATAAAAAATGAAGAACCGTCCAGAGAAGCATGGCAATATTAAATTAAATATTATTATTTTCATCACGTGGGAGATGGAGTTGAAGCCTTAAGCTAGGGAATGAAGATTCCCTTTCATTAGTCCGATGAGGCTCTCGCTTTGTCTTTCGAATGGCGCAGCGGCTGTGTGAGCAGTTTCGACAGCCATTCCATGCGTCTGGCATTTTGTAGCGAATGCAGAACGTTGTTTTGCGATGAGGTTACATTCACCCGTGGTCGGCCATGAGATTTATTGTTTTTGATTGGCCGTTTTGGCAGTCAAGCGACTCATCTGTGATTCTTGTTTTGACACAGCTGATGATGATTAATTGTTTTTGTAACTAGCGGACACCTCATCTTATTTGAGTGAATGTTTAACTACTAGATATTTGTTTGAAATATTACATTTGGGCCACGATTATTCTTGTCAGGTCCTTCGTCCTCCCAGTAAGCCATTCTATTGCAGAGCCATGAGTCCAGAATGGTTTCTTGATTTATGCAGAACTCTTGATTATTTCTTGTAGTAGCTGCTGCCATCTCATGTATGGAGTACAAGATATAGGGCAAATGACCGTCGCACAGTAGGGCTATAAAATGCGCGATCATTTACTACACAAGTATTAATGAGCACTTATTGTGGCATTTCACCAAAATAAGTAAAATAAACAAATTTTCACCACTGATTTCTCGAAATGTTGCTGGATGTTGCCTCTGGTGCATTGAGGATCGCACTGTCTAAATCAGGTTCTGAGTCTGTACTTAGCGAAGGTCAATCAAATAACGAACTTCATTTTGTGTATCGACTGATGAATCGAAGAGAATGTATGCAATTATTAACCAGACAGCATCGAGTGGAGTGTCAAGACAAATTTTTCCGAAACATCGTCGACTTACTTCTAAGCTCCATTTGTACGTCCTTATAAACAACGGAGTTCGTCGGATTAATCAATAAACCGGTTAATGCGAGACTAAGTCGTAGGTCGCTTTGTTTGTACCGTCCTGCAGAGGGTTATGATACATTGTAATTATTTCAAAACGTTGTCCCCTCATCACCATCGTGACCAATGACAAAAGTGTCCAAAGTCCATCAGTTGTCAAAGGGCAGGTTCTCACCGCTGTGTGACCGGGGTCACGACCTGCAGTGGCAACATTAACAGATGGACCATCGTAGGTAGTCATCGTTACAATTAAGAATGGGACGTGGAGGCATGTATGACTTATCGACAAGCACCGGCCAATTTGGCGACTCGCTGACCGAACAGTAACTGACCAGTCGACCGAAAGTTATTGAGGACGATGCGTGATTGGGCGACAGCAGCAATTATGACGGGATTAGCGACCACCTAGTTTTCCCGAAGCGCTTAGTACATGACCGCATTCCCCTGTGCACAAAACTGGTTTGTTTTTGACAATGGACCGCTTATTCCAGCGGCGGTGAACTTCGGCGTGGAGTCATCGACGGACGACAGCGGTGCGTTCGATTCGCTGGTTCATCTCCACATAGGTTGCAAACCACTTTGTTTCGAGGCAAACAGCTGGCTTTGGGAAACTCGAAATTGCGGCTACTGACCGTCGTTTGTTTTGTACATAACGCCTCCTTTTAGTGAAGAAGTTAATAAGCTGCGTTCTATTTATAGGATGATGAACATTGACGAAATAGAAGACGCGCAAGAACGAACATGCTAGCGGGTAGAGACCTCAGTTTTGTCCTTCTGCTTCTACACGCAACAACGTCTGAGTTGATTCAGAAATTCTCAGTCAGAGAAAATCAGCCTGCAAACAGTTTTGTGGGAAAAATCCAGAAAGCTGATCATCAGGATCGGGCAGTGGCCGCTGGTCGGCAGTACTTTTTTATGTTTCCCGCGGAAGCAGATGTGAAGACGTTCTTCACGGTGGACGAAACTAGCGGAGAAATATGGACAAAGACGGAGCTGGACCACGAAATGACGTCCAAATACGTCTTTTTGGCCATTCCAGTAAGCGGGGGTGAAGGTATACGGGTACAAATCAATGTCTTGGACGAAAATGATAATGCTCCACTTTTTCCCACTCCTTCCGTCGATGTATCTCTTTCTGAGTACGCGAAGGTCGGCTCTGAGGTAGCTCTGCCATCGGCGATTGACAGGGACTCTTCTTCACTTGCCGTACAAAAGTATGTCATCGAAAGCGGCAACAACGGTAACGCCTTCCGGTTGTCTTATCAACTGAACAAGGAAGTAACATTTTTGGACCTGGTAGTCAACACTGAGTTGGATCGAGAAAAGTGCGCCCAGTACGAGTTAACAATTCACGCATATGACGGGGGAAGTCCCCCTTTATGGGGAACTCTCCTTGTCAACGTTTCGATCCTGGACGTGAACGACAACGCACCAGAATTCGAACAACCTCGGTACCTCATTGAACTGCCTTCCAATTTAACCAATGGCGACGTGGTGGCAACAGTGAAGGCGACAGATCTCGATGACGGAGAGAACGGCAGGGTAACGTATTACTTAGGGCCTAGTCCTGGGAAAGCTGAAACCTTCTTTACCGTTGAGGAGCGAACAGGGGTTCTGCGTTGGGCTTCAGAAGAAAAGCCTCAGAAAGCTTACGAAATTTTGATCAATGCTAAGGACAATGGAGAACAGCCGCTGGTGACATCGGCATTCATACTAGCGACTCTCGTTAAGGAAGTTCAGGAAACGGTCATAAAGATAACGTATCTTACAGACGATGCAACACCGTTGATTCGGGAAGACATGATTAATGGCAGTCTAGTGGCTCGAATTTTGGTCTTTGGCGAAGGAGACCCTTCAAGACGTTTGAAATGTTCAATAACTTTGGTTA